TTACACTTGACTTAGACAGCTGAGCATAAGGAATGTACCACGCACAAATGTCTAATTCAAGTGGGAAGTGTCTGACTTCAAGTAAGTGGAAAGCACTATTCTTATTATCACCAGTCCACTTGCTCTTACCTCAGGCACATGTTATGGAGGGAGCACATAAGATAGGAAACATGAACTGAGGTTTGGGTCCTTCATTCCAGGTTGCCTTCATTCCTTGCCACCAAGACATTTGCAATGTCTTGGTGGCAAGAGGTGTAGACATGACTATAGAGAAATAGGGACTCCCTGCTAAATGTTGAACCATGCCTGGAGTAGGGATTTTTAAAAGTTCAGTTTCCACTCAGTCTAGTCATCTTATCAGTTGACTGAAATTATGATGCGTGTAGGCCCATGCAGTTGAATTGCAGTTGAACCTCAACTGAATCCAAAGTTGAATTGAATTCTGCAAAGGATGAGAGTTAAACTGGAAATTTAACAATGCTTGCCAATTTGGAGGTTGGTTCCAGGAGGCATTACTTTTGGCATACCTTGTTTCATCGTGCAAAGCCCTTATCACCCTCTTTCCACAATGGGAATTACCTTGCATGCTCTAGCACAAGATCAAATGCATCCTGCATTTTTCATCCACATTGCTAATGGAGGAATAAAACTGGCAGATGAAGTAGAGGTACCAGGATCATAATGTGAGAGTATTCCAATAGTTGGAATCTATAGAGAGGTTTTCCCCTGGAAAAATTGCTATAGACACATAGGGGTTCCACCTTAAAAATGCTTAATTATTTTTGCAAATAAGATGTGTTCTTTCTGAATTGTCTTGACATTGGAGATATATTTATTGCTGTGACAGTGACAGTTGCAAGATCCTGTCACACTCCATTACTGACTGTTGTGCAGGCAGCAGGAATGTGATAAGTGTGATATGACAGAGTATTGAGAAAGATATTCTGGAAAAAAGACATTCAGGCTGTTTTCTTGCATATTTAATTGTGCATTTGTGATTAGAGAGCATAAGTAAGAAGCAAAGCATCCATTTCTTTCCTCCATTGTCAGTTCAGGTTTTTTCTTAATTGAATGATGGAAATATGAACCTTTAAGTCAAGTTTTTTTGTCTTGTAAAATTGCTAGTGGAGACAGTGGATGGGTAAGGGAACAGTTGCACCCTCCCTTTCACAGTACCAGACATTGTGATACCTGTCAATTAGCTCACAGGAGAAAATATATAGCACGACTGCTTCGGTCAAGTTGAAGTTTTACGACCAGGTAATCATGAATTGTAGATAAGATTTTTGGCTTTTGGTGTAGTTTCTGTGATCACATTTTTGGGTATCCTTCACGTGATCACCATGCATTCAAATTCATGCTCTTCACATACAGCGGCGACATTATGCGCCCATTAAGCTCAGGCTGCGACACGCAAGAAAGGAAAGCGAGGGTTGGAATTCGCGTCTGTGATGGAAGCGGACGTCGCTAAAATATTCAAGATTTACGGAAAACCAAGATTTGTGGAAGTTCGCGAAATCACGGGAGACCGTGAACGAGACCGCGAGCATACAATAGACAGGTTCTAACTTTCATTCCAATGCTTCTGGCAATATCCAGCCATCCCATTCCCGATCCACGAACGAATTTGCAAACGCTCTACTCGAGGACAAGCAGACGACTCGCCTAATTGAGATCTGTGGTCCGATTGGTGGACACGAGCGGAACGGCGTCTGCTTGCAGAAATGGCGTCTAATATGCTCCAACCTCTGAATGAAATAAATTTGAAAGCTGATTCAAGGATTTGCTGTGAACATGGATGTCATAATGTACGGAGGCAGGTGCTGGTCGGCATATTCATTTATCGTAAAGTCGGCTCTGCCTATCATTAGACGATCTGTTTTGCATTCACGTGAACTATCTCGGACGTCCAGAGTTAACACCGACTTTCGTTCGCGGTCGCGTACCCATTCCCATCCAGATTCCTCAACTCCTAAACCTGTGAGATTTTGCATATCTGATGTTCACCTTGACTCTACCCGAGAACATTATCTCTTCTGGAGGAGCGTAACATTTCACTAACAAGGCGATCTGAAAGGCTTGAGCTTGCAATACATTACTTTTGTTTCACTTTATATTGGGTTTTTATGATAAGGCTTTCCACTTACATTCTATTATGGGGTGTTCTTCAGCAGCAATTCTAATCCCAGAAAAATCTGCATGCATCATGGTTTTCATAGCTTTATTGCATCTCTCTGCTAGAATTGGACCAATCTTAGGACGTTTGGCAATAAATTGGAACAACTTCAGGTCTAGCTTGGACAAAGGTGGAATATCTGGAGACGCTGAATATAAATCGAAACATCTGGCAACCCCATACTTACCTATTATTTGACATGGGTTGAAGGAAACATGTTTTTAAGGGTCTGCTTTGGTTGATTTTTCGGTTGGAATTTGAAGAGTGCAATAGCCAGATGAAATCGCACCAGAACATATTCTTTCCTTAATGGTAACAAAAAAAGTTTTTAATTTAAATTTATTGTGCCATATGGTTGGTGTTACATTGTCTAAAGTAGTTTAATGAATGTTGGTGAAGCAAAGACACTTGTATATTCTCCAAGTAGATTTCTTTAAACTGTGCCTACCCTCTTTCCAGTTGGTATCAGTAGTTGTACAAGAAAAGAACTCTAATGTGTTGCCCATTTCAAGTATATATTCCCTGTGAAATGAGATATGATAGCAGTGTTGCTAACTGTATAAAGTCTTCTAGATTTCATTGGTATCTTGTAGTGTTCTAAACATAACATTTATAGAAAAAATAATATGATCATTTAATGCAATTTTCACCATGAATGGAGGTGACAAATGCATATGCCACAAAAATAATACTTTAATTACCTGCAGATTGTAAGAATATGATTAAAATATATATTGCTGTTAGCTCTTTGCACTTTGTTGGCACTCAGAAAACTGCAAAGGGGATATTGTCATCCCAAGTTATTTAGTTTTTATTATTATTATCAAGAACTAGTGAGCAATGGTCATGCCTTTGATTCTCAGTGATCTGAGAAAATTATTAATTCGTGTAAAACTTTCATTTTTGAAGCTCACCCCTACCAATGTGGTAAAACTCCTTGGCCTATAGATATTTTTTGTTGTGGCATCAAGTTATTTCTGGTTATGTGACATTGCTTGCCTGATGTTAGCAACATTTAACAAATGTTCTTAGTATCCTCACATAAGGTCTGCTTGAAAAATTTTCCTTCAACCAGTGCCTTTTATAACATGACTGTAAAAATATTTTTCTTGAAGTGAAAGATTTAAAGATTCCCCCCCCCCCAATAAAAGGCCCTCCATGGTGCCATACCCAATCTCATGATTTTCCCTGAACTCAGAATTCCAAAAGCTACATTTACTAAATTTCATGTTTATGTATTTGCCCATTCCACTGCTGCAAAAAATATCAGACAAACAGACCTGCAATAAAAAAAATGCTCTCATGGAATGGGCCCTAAAAGTAGAATTTTCCAGAAATGATTGATTCAACAGATACTTCTATACCATATTTCAACTTCCTACAGCTGCCTGAATTACTGGAGCAAATATATTTATTGGAAACGGCCCCCATGTAAAAATTTGTGCCCCAAGGGGTTGGACCTCAAAAGTAGGATTTTCCTCAAAATCATATTTCCTGGAACTACATGCATATGGAATGTCAGCTTTTGATATCTGCCTATTTCACTGGAGTAAACAAACAAATTTATTGGAGAATGTCTCCACCCCGAAAAAAGGATGCCCTCATGGGAATTTCTCCTGGAAGTATGATTTTTCCTGAAATCTACATCTCAACAGGTACCTATGTACCAAGTTTCAGCTTTCTATATCTCCATTTGGTTGGAGTGGAAACAATTTTATGGAAATTCTTCCCTCCACCCCCCCCCCAAAAAAAGTGCCTTGAAGAGATGGGCTTAAGGAAAAAAATCTCCTGTAGTCAGTACCACAAGAACTGTAGGCTTATAAAAATTTATTTTTCTATATTTGCCTGTTTTGCTGGAGTGAAAATGTCTTTCAAAAAACCACCCTACTCAATAATTGTGCCCTAAGGGGATGTGCCCCAAAAGTAGGATTTTTTCTGAACTCAGGAACTCAATAGTTACTTGTATATCAAGTTTTAGGTTTCTACTGTATCTAGAAAATGGTTAGAGTCATTAGTCATCATCTATTTATACTATATGTTGACCCCTTCAGGGGAGAATTTCTTCATAGTGGGAAATTTTTTTTGTAATTCATAATTAGTGTTTTTGTACAGAAATTTACTCCTCTTTTTTGAGTTTACACTCAGATTTTGAGCATACGAGTTTATATTTAACTCTAATGCAAAATATAATTAGACATGTATGCTGCATACCAAAATATAGGAAGTATTTTACCATGATGGATGTAAATATGAAACCCTCCTCAGGGTTAGCATAGGTTTAAAGGGGGAACGGAAAGTCACTGCACACTCAATGATGCAACCCATGATGGCTGGGCAGGGTGTCTCATGAAATTCTACTGTAACCTGTCAGAGGCAAATATGATTTTTTCCTCAAGTAATAACTGATTCAATCTATTCCTGTATTGTGTACACCATTTATTTACACAATTTTTACTGCCTTATGAAATCCCTTTCTTAGCTTTATCTAGTGTCATCCAATCACCAAAGAATTAACAAGTTAGATTCATTGGACATGCCATGACTTACCACTCACATTGTGTAAAGCATGCATATACAGTCTGGTAGCATTCTGGAATGGGCCTTATTGCTGAGTCCTGTTTTGAGCCTCAGAAACTCCAGAAATTGCATTGACCTGAGAATGGACTTTAACCCTGCTCCTGCTACATTGATTATGTTGTCAGTCTGCACTCAGAATATTCTGAGACCTGCAGCACTAGGGTTAATATGTGGCTAGCCTAGAATATAGGCCTCAACTTGATATAGGACTTGGTAACTCTAACTGTTGTATTAAAAAAGCATTGTTCTTTCATTAGGCATAGAGATTCATTTTCAGTCAAACATGGTCTTCATGTAAACTGTGTACAAAAATGAACTGGAAAATGTCTGGCAAGTAGGCATATGGAAGAAATAGAATCAAGCCAAAAGCAAAACACCCCAACCCTGGAGGATAGTGAGGATGGGTTTTCCAAAGTTCATAGAAGTTCCTCCTTTGGTGGAATCATGTCTGGTCAAAGAAGACTGTCTAAAGAATCCTTAGTATCCTGTTCTGAGACAGATGCATCAAGGCGGTAAGTAGCTTTTTCTTGGCTTATAAACAAGGCCTTTCATATAGCTCAACTATCAGCTGTAACAAAAACCTACAGCTTGATGTTGGTCTGTAACACTGGCTGTAACTGAAAGCTCTGTAATTCATAAGAACATGATTTGATGCTCAGGAATCTTATGAAGTTTTCATGTGTATGTGATTATTCATGACCATGTTCTTTTTCTTCTCATTTCAGTGCAACATGGTCTCACGGAGTTCTTGGGCAAGGCTACCAGACTGGAGGAAAATCAAAGCCATTCCTGACACTATCTTCACGAAGCTCTTCAGGGAAAGTCTTGTGCATGCCACATCCAATGCGAACCACATTGGTTGCCCAAGCTCTTATTCAGGCTCTTAACAAGTGTGTTAGGGTTCTGGAACATGAGGCATCCCAGCTTCGGCAGAATCTTGACAGTGCTTCAGTCCATTCTCATCAGGTAAACCTCATATTCCATTTGTTAAAAAAAAGAGTGTCAAATTTCTTTATCAGAGATGAATGGTATATTTGTCATAGATGCCAAAGATGTCCTTTCTTATTGCTGTGAGGTTCTTTTTATCAATAACCCTTTCCCCACCTCTTCCATCTCATCTCTGCTTTCTCTTGTCCCTTCTCCCTTCTTAGTAATCAAGGCTATTTTAGCTCAGATTCTTCCTTGCTGTTGGCCTAATTCAAAGTGAGGGCAATAAGAGGTTTACCCTTTTTTTTTCAGAGCTAGGATTGGCTCAATCAAAGAAGACATTCTAGCTATACCAATCAGCAGAAAGCTCCTCAGTATGGGTGGGGTCAGACATGGGGAAGATTAGAGAGAGAAAAGAGGGGGGAAGGAATTTTGAAAAGGCACCTGTTAAACTATAATTTTGAAAAGAAAGGCAGTGACAGAGATGTTGGCTAGGTTTAGCCCTAACTTACTACTGTGATGATGCTTTATGAACATAATGAACTATCACCAGTGTGAGCAAGATCTACTTCAAGGTTCATGGTCCTATTTTTTTTTTAGATGTACCATGTAGTTGACTTTAGTGCATCCAAGTGTTAAAGGTTGTCAGTTGCTTTCATGTTCACTATTTTTCATATCATGGGTCATGATCACAAGTCTTCACTTTTTATCTTTCCAGTCTCGAAAATTGTATGAGTGTGAGAAGGTGAGGAAACTTTTAGCATGGTCTGTTTGAATCTGGATTGCATGGATGTGTTGAAGATACTTTGTCACTGGCATACTGCCATGCAAATGCAAAAGGATGTAGCTCCATGCACCCAAACTACTCTGCCATGCCATTTTGAATTTGTTTTTGCAAAAGTCATAATGGCAGAATTCAAGCCATCTGACTGGAAATGATGCTATTTCTTGCTTCTTATTATATTTATGAATGGAGTTATATCAGAATGGAATAGAGCAGGGTATTATATCAAGTGGTACAAAAAAAAAGAGTCCTGTTTGACACCTTATGTTACTGATGGTGGAAAATCTAGGTTTGTGATTTTTTGGCATCACATTGGAAAAAATGACAAGGACACCAAAGTTTCAAGTGTGTAGGTCATCTGAATAAAAAGCAACAGTTATTCAAAGTGCTGTCATAAAATGTAGCTTTTCAACCCACAAGGTGGATGCAGTCTTAGCACCTCTCAAAAGATATCTCTCCATGAGCTATGAAGGCTGTTTTTCATGTTGTGTTCTTGTTATAGTATTCATGATTGTGTAGTCTCTTTAGACCTCCAGTGAGAAGGTAAGGTCTGAATATGATGGTATGTTTGGAGCATTAGTACTGGAGATGAAAGAGAATAGTGAGAGTTTCCTATCAAATCATGGACTATGTGGAGTCTCTTCCTCTCCAGACCTTGTGGCATATACACATGCCAAACATCAAAATTTCAATACCCCTGCTCAAATCACTTTTGTCATGAATCACATAAGCCATAGGAGGATTAAAGAGAGCTCCCAAAAAATATATAGTGTGCCTCACTGAACTTTGTCTGCATCACAATTCTGAACTTGATGCTTCTGTGAATATGACTGCCCTTGTCAATATGACTTTTTTTTTGCACCACTTGGTATAATTTTATGGAGACATCCGTAAGTCATCTTTCACAACAATTATATTTGAAGCCTTTTGCCTCTGGATGGCAAGATAGGCCTGGGTGATGCTAGAACTGCATGTAAGAATGTATTTATTTTTTTAAATAGGTGAATTTGAATGCTTATCTTTGTTTCTTCAAAATCAACAAAGAACAAAATATTGAGTTTGTATCTCCTCTGAAAAATGAGTCAAGAATCAGTCAACAATGGTGTTTTATGTACCTGCCAGAGTATGAAGGCTTAATGACATGTGCAGATAGTTTGCTCATGTGTAATCTTTAACATTTCAAAGTCAAGTTTTTTAATTTTTCATCCTTCCTGTTGTGAATGTGGTAATTTTTTCATGTAAATCTTTTATTGCCTTCTAATTTTAGGCCAATAATATATTGGCAATAATTTTTTACTTTTGACATTACTGTTTTTTTTTTTTGGCTGTGCATTGTGCATTAAGTCACTTAAGAGCAAATAAAATCAAGTTAAGATTACTTGTCAGGTATAACTTATGCTTCTTTATGAAGGAATTAGGTATACCACAAGATACAACCAGTATATGCATTTGAAGGCATGATGAGTGTGTTTATATCCCATATATCAGTTATGCCAATTTATAATGCTTCTGTTGCATGCTTTTCCTGAGTGATATGCCATTGTTTTTGTTTTATTCCTCCCAGAGAGCATCACCTTATGTGCTGTGAAAATAGTAATGGAATGAAAATGTGTTGCACAATCCATGATCTCTGTAAAATTTCTATTGACATTGGATTGTATATCACAAAATCTCATTCCTTGTTGTATCCCTTCATATTTTCCAAATTTCTCATGTTTATTGCTTTGATGAATATCCATGAAATGCAATCAATTCAATATTTTATTATCAAAAGATGACACTTGACACTAAAGCTTGAAACTCATGGGATGGTGCTACCATGCAGTTTCAATTCAGGATCCAGGATGTGTCTCATAATCTGACAATCATGAAGAATGGTCTCATAATTTTTATAAGGCTGGAGTGCTTTTTTGTGCAATTGATTGCTGTATTAATATGGTGAAATTGCCATAAGATAATACTTGTGATGTGAAATGCTTCACAGATAATATGCCTACTTAAGCTACAAGGGAAATGACTTACTTCAAGAAAAAGTCAAGAGTTGTCAAGTTGTTTTTAATGGGGTATGATTCATGTCTTTATTAGATGAGGATGGGATATATTCACTTCCCCCAAAAGCACTGGAGTAACTATATACTCCCCTCTTATTCTCATTTCTGATGGAGCTTAGTACTTCTATGTATTAAATGTATTATTACATTTTTATTTATTAAAAGTATATTATGTATTACATGCTGACATTGCAGCTATAACCCTCTATCATGCAAACCTCTCAACTGCAAAAAGCAACAAGAGAAAATATGTTTTCATGCATCAAATTTGTATTTTGAGCTCTAGAGCTGTATAGACATTCAGGTTCCATGAGTTTGAAATCTATGTAGCTCACTGGCAAAAGCTCTGTCAACTCATGAAGCAAAGCATGAAGCTTTGGAACATATGAATCAGAATTTGAAAAAAAAGAAGTAATTTATTGGGTTGTAACATATATTCCCGCCGTTTTTATATTTTGTTTGTTTTCACTCCATATTTTTTAAGTTTGGCAAAGTGGATATAGTCATTTGAAAGAGTGTTCTTTCCTCTACAAACTTATTGCCACCATTTTTCCGAATAACTTAATTTTACTTAACTTTCAGGTATTTGAAATGGAAATACCAGGCGGCAAGAAAACCCATTTTCGACACTTGCTTTATTTCGCGTTTTGCTGTAATCAAAAAGCAGCTGAAGCAGCTCGGGATATTTGTGCCGTTTACGGAGAGGGTGCTA